GTGAGCGAGCGATTTGGCTGCTGCATAAATTAGTTGGCTCTGGAGCCATCCTTCCTGAGCTAGGACAAAAACGTGTGAGCCAGAGGCTAAAAAATGATCAGCTAGCTCACACTAACTCAGCTTGAACATTGGTGTGAGCTACTGACTGTCAGAAATGGGGGGGCTAAACTAGAGGGATCCAGCCAGCTTTTAAGCATGCTCCTTTTTTGAGGTGTCTGGGTTGAGTCCACCAGGGTGGTCAAGAGTCCAGGTCCTGGAACTCTTTGCTGGGACAAAGAAGAAGAGGAGGAGGAGAAGGAGGAGGAGATTGGATTTATACCCTGCCCTTCACTACCCAAGGGAGTCTCAGAGTGGCTTACAAACTCCTTTCCCTCCCCCTCCCCACAACAGACACCCTGTGAGGTAGGTGGGGCTGAGAGAGCTCTGACAGAAACTGCTCTTTTTCAAGAACAGTTGTGCCAGAACTACGGCTTGCCCAAGGTCATCCAGCCAGGTGCAAGTGGAGGAGTGGGGAATCAAACCCGGTTCTCCCAGATTAGAGTCCGCGCACTTAACCACGACACCAAACTGATTTATACCCCACCCTTCACTACGCAAGGGAGTCTCAGAGCGGCTTACAAACTCCTTTCCCTCCCCCTCCCCACAACAGATACCCTGTGAGGTGGGAGGGGCTGAGAGAGCTCTGACAGAAACTGCTCTTTCTCAAGGACAGCTCTGACAGAACTACGGCTTGCCCAAGGTCATCCAGCAGGTGCAAGTGGAGGAGTGGGGAATCAAACCCGGTTCTCCCAGATTAGAGTCCGCCCACTTAACCACTACACCAAACTGGCCTGAACCCTTGGAAGGAACAGAGAGCAGGATCCATCTCATAGGAGTGCAGCACCAGCACCTTCTCAGGGCACCTGAGATTTCCTGGTGGAGCCTTTGGTTTCCTTCTCTTCATTTTTTAAAACAATGACAGCCTTTGGTGCAGAACATCATCTTCTCAAGGAGAAGAACATGCCGTCTTGTCTGGTCAGGCTCTTTGTCCTCGAGAGGTCCCAGAATGGCCGTGGGGAGTCCAGCCCCATTAGAATGCCCCCGGTTCCCTGATTCTGCCGTTTCCCCGGGTGGGGCTTCCTTGTGAGTGGGCCTGGCAGCTCCCCCGGGAAGGCCTTCGCCCCCCAGCGTGGGGTGATTTGCAGGGGATCCTCTTCCTCCCCTTCTGAGGCTGGGCCTAGTCTCTCTGCCTAACTTACTTTACAGGGTTGTTGTGAGAATAAAATGGAGGAGCGAAGAATGATGTCCGCCTGTTAGGGAGAAAGGTGGGGTAAAGCGGAAGGAAGTAAATCAACACATAAATATTTGGGGGAAGTGGCAAACCATTTTCCCCAGCCCCCTTTCCCCTTGCTCGCGATCATGGAGATGACACACCCTCCTCCGTGACAAAGCCTTCCTTGGTAAGATTTGTGACGTTTTTCACGTGGGCCGAATGCGGCTCTGGACATTGGCCTCATTTGGCTCCCCGTGCGATGGTGGACGGCGCCCGGTTTGGCGCCCGGTGGCTGGCCTTGCCTGTTTGCCTCTTGCTGGGCCTCTGAGAGGCCTTGCTGGCCACTGACCCAGAAGTCCGGTTTTCCCTCAGGGATGGCGTCGCTGGACGGCCGGGCCTCTGGCAAGATGGGCATGCGTGCTGTTGTCTATTACATGCTGACTACTGTCATCGCTGTCTTCATCGGGATCTTCATGGTCCTCATCATCCACCCCGGCAAAGGAGGCAAAGCCAAAGCCCAGTCGGAGGGGAAGGCGGAGCAGGTCCATGCGACAGACGCCTTCATGGACCTCATCCGGTGAGTAACTGGGGTGGGCAGGGTGACCACACCTATATCCATCTTCTGCTGAATCCGGCCCGTGGTCCATCAAGGCCAGACGGGCAGCGGCTCACCAGGGCCTCAGGCAGAGAAAGGCCTTTCCCCTCACCTGCTGCCTGGTCCTTTTAACTGGATAAGCCAGGGATGAAACCTGGGACCTTCTGCACGTCAAGCAGAGGCTCTGCCACTGAGCCACCAGGCCTCTGCCAGTGCTGAGAGGATGGCTGACCAGCTGTAAGAGACGGTGCTGCCGGGCAGGGGGGTCTCACAGAATGGAGCGGGGGTGGGGGTGACCTGTATAGAGGCTGCATGGGGTCAACCCCCTGCCCCAGCTGTGTCCTCTGGCCCCAGTCGGTTGAGGCTGGCTCTCGGTCTCTCCCGTAACCAGTTAGCGGCTGTGTGACCAGGGGTGGGTTGGGGGGACGACTCCAGTCAGGCTTGCGGTCTTCCCTCAGAGGAGGCCCTTCCTCCGCCAGCCTGGGCTGAGAAGAGAGGGTCACTTTTTCTCCCTGTTCTCCCTCCTTTAGGAACATGTTCCCACCCAACCTTGTGGAGGCGTGCTTCAAGCAGGTGAGGCAGAGGCTGCTCCAGCGGTCACACTCCATGGACATCCTTGCTGGCACACTTTCTGGCACCCTCCCCACAGGGACCTTTTTCTCCCATGAGCTCCTGGGCCTCCACCACCGGTGGCCATCCAGAGGTCTCTCGTTCCCTTGAGGTCTCTCGCCCCCTTCTCCCTCAGGGCTCCTTGTGCCTGGGCACACCCCCCCCCCCAACTCCTGTGTGAACTTCGGTCTTCCGTCTCTGAAATTCAGCCTTTTCTACTCAGCCTTCGACATGCCCCTTTAGTGCCCCTGCCCGGTTGTTCGTTTTATGTATCAGAAACATTTTTATGCAGCCTTTCCCCCCCAGTTCAGGGTCCCCAAGGCAGCAAAAAGTCAAAACACTAAAACAAAATACTAAAACAAAAGTACAGGGTCCCTAGGCAGAGGCAGGCGAGGGCAAAACCACCTCTGAATGTCTCTCACAAACACACCTCAATAGTAGGGAGGGTCACTGAGTGAATGCTGAACTATACGGAACAGTCAAGGCACCTCCGTCCCTTCTGTTATGACAAAATTGTGACTGGAATATCAAGTTTATTTTCACAGAGTGGGAAGGGGGTCCTGCAGGCCATCTAGTCCAGCCCCCTGCTCAATGCAGGATCAGCCTAGAGCATTCCTGACAAGGGTTTGTCCAGACGCTGCTGAAAGCCCGGGGGGGGGGGAGCTCACCAGTTCCTCAGGCTGGGGACCATCTTTTCATACTCTAGTAAAGGCCACACCCATGGCTGGTACTGTATATACAAGATAGTAATAATTCAGTTCACCGATGTACTGCTCTAAAGCTTTACTTCCATTCTGGGAGCATCACCCATTCTGGAGTCTCTCCAGTGGCCGCTTTCTCTTTCCTTTGCAGTACAAGACCCAGTACATCGTCAGAGTTGTCAACCGAACCTTCGTGCCCGCCGGCAGCACCGCTGCACCACTCCCACAACACCCACCCCACAATGGCAGCAGTTCTTCCCCTCTGCCACTTCCTGAGAACAGCACGGGCATCTGGCACAACATCACCCAAGCCCTGGGCAGCCTCCCAGAGGTGCTAAGCTACGAGGAGGTGGTGCCGGGCCCTGGCTCGGTCAACGGGGTCAATGCGCTGGGCCTGGTGGTCTTCTCCATCTGCTTCGGCCTGGTGATCGGCAGCATGAAGCAGAAGGGCCAGGCCCTGCGGGAGTTCTTCGACTGCCTCAACGACGCCATCTTGCGGATGGTGGCCGTCATCATCTGGTGAGGGGCTGCGGGGGTGGGGAAGGGCAGGCTAATGGTCAGACTCTAGCGCTCTGGGTCCTACTCATATCGGAATGGCAGAGACCGGCTGCTTGCTTTCTCATAAAACTTCCAGTGCTCCTTGAAAGAGGCCTGCGAGTGCAGTGGGAGTGGAAGGCTGGGCCAAGATGGTTCCAGGGGTGTTTTTCTAGATGTTTGAAACTGAGGAGCGGCTTTCAGTCGCTGATGGCGTGCGGCGGTGGGTCGGTCACCTTCCTCAGAGATGGTTTCTGAGTGTGGGCAGTGAAGGCTAGAGGGGGGCAGTAAAGCTAGCAAGGCTAGAGAGGTCCGTTTCCCCTGCCCCCTTCCTCTTTGTCCTCTGTGCTGCTGCCTCTTTGTTCACCCAGCTGGCTCCTCTCAAGAATTTCCTGCCTGCCAACCTTCTTCTCGTCCTCCTCCTCCTTTGGTGCAGTGGTTAAGTGTGCGGACTCTAATCTGGGAGAACCGGGTTTGATTCCCCACTCCTCCACTTGCACCTGCTGATGTGACCTTGGGTCAGTCACAAGCTCTGGCACAGCTGTCCTTGAAAAAGAGCAGTTTGTGTCAGAGCTCTCTCAGCCTCACCCACCTCACAGGGTGTCTGTTGTGGGGAGGGAAAGGGAAAGGAGTTTGTAAGCCGCTCTGAGACTCCAAGTGAAGGGCGGGGTATAAATCCAATCTCTTCTCTTCTTCTTCTCTTCTCCTTTCTAACCTCCGTAGGGGGGAGATGCGCTCCCTGCTGTCTCTTGCCGTCCCAGACTAGATCGATGGATAGGAAAGGTGGGTGAGAGAGAAGTGTACTGACACCTGAGATGTAAAACTGCTCCACACAGACATGCAGTAAAATAACTGGATTTGGCCCCATATAGCCCTTCCACTAGCAATGGCGCCTTGCACTGGAGGAAAGTGCCACAGCTAGCAGAACGGATCCAGAGGATCTGACCCAGTACAGGCAGTTAAAAGGGCAGCATGCTTCCCTTCGGTCTGGCATCCATACGCTTGGCTTTTGTTTGGAGGAGCAGTATGCGGACTTGGGGGAGCCCCCATCCCGTCCTTGGTTGCCCCGTTGCCAACCTAGAGAGCGGATAACCAAAGAGAGACCATGGGATGAGTGAGTAGAAAACAGTCAGTGGCAACCTTGATATATTTGCAAAGGGAATATCACTCTTTTATAGATTTTTAAAAAAAAGATCAGTATTAATACGAATACATTTCTGTACATTCATACAAGAATAAACGTCAAAAAATGATCCCACACTGTTGACAAGCACAGTCCAATAACCCAAAGTTCTTACAAACAGTAAATCATCTTTGTGTCTTTCTGGTACTAATATTGGATTGTAGACAAATAGTATAAAGGTCACGGATCTGCAGACAGGCTGGCTTGTGCCGACACCGTTTTCACAAGGCTTCTTCGGAGCAGAATATGCGTAGACTGTGAATCCTTTCCTACTCAGCATTCATGTCTGCATGCTGTCTCTGCAGAATGCTCACACTCAGTGAAATCTTCTCTTAGAGAAAGCAGAATGAGAGAAGATTTAACTGATTATTGGACTGCGCTTGTCAACACTCTGGAATCATTTTTTGACGTTTATTCTTGTATGAATGTACAGAAATGTGTTCGTATTGATATTGATCTGTTTTTTTTGAAAATCTATAAAAGAGTGATATTCCCTTTGTAAATGTATCACGGTTGCCTTTGACTATTTTGTGCTTACCGTGCGCCTTGGGCTCATGCCGGCCACATGACCACGGAAACGTCTTCGGACAGCGCTGGCTCTTCGGCTTTGAAACGGAGATGAGCACCGCAACCCTAGAGTCGGATTCGACTGGCTTTTGAGCAAGGGAGACCTTTACCTTTTAGAGAGTGGAGCAGAAATGCTGGGGGGCGGCGGGGGGGCTGGCATGAGCCCAGTGAACTTGAACGTCCTCCTTTGTGTGTGAGAAGCCTCTGAGAAAACCTTCCAGGGTTTCTGTTCTGTGGTTGCTGCTCTAGGTTGGCTTCTGCAGAGTCAGGCCCTTGGGCTCCTCTAGCTCAGCAGCAGTTCTCCAGGGGGGTCTCAGGCTGAGGAGGGTCTTTCCCCCCAGCACCGAGATCCTTCCAACCAGAGGTGCCAAGGGACTGGACTTTGACTCAGGGCACGCAACGTGCAAAACGAGGCATGGGGTCGGTGCGCAGGCACAGGAAGCTGCCGTGGGCACAGTCAGGCCCTCGGGCCGTTGTCTCCTCTGACCGGCCGCAGCAATCCTGGGTTGCGAGCAGGGAGGGGCCTTTCCCTGCGCCCGAGATCCCAGTAGGTCTGGGGGCTATGTTTGGTGTCGTGGTTGAGTGCGCGGACTCTAATCTGGGAGAACCGGGTTTGATTCCCCACGCCTCCACATGCACCTGGCTGGATGACCTTGGGCAAGCCATAGTTCTGCCAGAGCTGTGCTTGGAAAAGAGCAGTTTCTGTCAGAGCTCTCTCAGCCCCACCTACTTCACAGGGTGGCTGTTGTGGGGAGGGGAAGGAGTTTGTAAGCCGCTCTGAGACTCCTTTGGGTAGTGAAAGGAGGGGTATAAATCCAGTCTCCTCCTCCTCCTCTTCTCCTCCTCCTTCTTATGTGGGTGCACAGCAGGTGCTCTGGCACTGAGTTACAGCTGCTGCTGCCCCAAGTAAGGAAAGGGCTTGGCGTGCAACCCTACGGAGCTGCCATGTGCAGAGTCAGGCCAGCCCTCGGCTCGTCCGGTTTGGTCTTCTCTCCTCTGAAGGGTAGCAGCTCTCTGGGCCCTCATGTGGAAAAGGGCCTTTTGCTACAACCATTGCCTACAATCCTTTTTGCCTCAAGAGCTTCTGCCCGCAAAGGCTGTGCTCTACCGCTGTGCAATGGCCGTGTCACTGCATGTCTGTGTGTGTGTCCTCACCCCAAACTAAATTGCAGCCTTTTACACTTACTGGTGGTCTGGGGTCACCGGTAATGCTGTTTCTGAGCACGTGCAAATGGCAGAGTTTCCCAACTACCACTCCCGTTTGTGTGTACGTGCATCAAGTGCTAGGCATGGGGGGGGGCTTTTGAACACAGCCTGTGCTCTCTTAAACAGGAAAACTTTATTTACTACAGCTTAACAAACTAGAGCACATTGCAAGGGAAAGTGACTGTCAGCCGCAGTAGGCTACAGCAGATCTAGGAAAAGAAAAGGGAAAACCGCATCTCCAGTTTGGTGTAGTGGTTAAGTGTGCGGACTCTAATCTGGGAGAACCGGGTTTGATTCCCCACTCCTCCACTTGCACCTGCTGATGTGACCTTGGGTCAGTCACAAGCTCTGGCACAGCTGTCCTTGAAAAAGAGCCGTTTCTGTCAGAGCTTTCTCAGCCCCACCCACCTCACAGGGTGTCTGTTGTGGGGAGGGGAAGGGAAAGGAGTTTGTAAGCCACTCTGAGACACCTTTGGGTAGTGAAGGGCAGGGTATAAATCCAATCTCTTCTTCTTCTTCTTCTTGTCTGACCTGAATGTTACAGCTGTTTGCCTTGGTGTCCCTGCTCTGGATGTGTCGTGGAGCAGATGATCCCCTGTTTGCCTTGGTGTCCCTGCTCTGGATGCGTCGTGGAGCAGACGCTGATCCTGGATTCATTCACATTCACACACACGCACATCTGTATAGGTATTTGCCCCAGGGCTGCATGCTGCTCTGACATGCGTGTCTTGTGATAGGTATGCTCCCATCGGGATCCTCTTCCTGATTGCTGGCAAGATCTTGGAGATGGAGGACATAGCCGTGATGGGGGGCCAGCTCGGCATGTACACACTCACCGTGATTTTGGGGCTGCTGATCCACGGCCTCTGCGTCCTGCCCCTGATCTACTTCATCGTCACGCACAAGAACCCGTGGCTCTTCGTGGCTGGTCTGCTCCAGGCCCTGGTCACGGCCCTGGGCACCTCTTCCAGGTACCTCCCTCCCACCCGGGTCTAGCAGGGAGCTGAGATGACAGGGGGAAATCCCCGGGGTCTGTTGCCAAGCCAGAGTGGGGCTGGATGAGCAGTGAGTCTGACCGGGAAAGACGGGAGCTGGGGTTGGGGGAGAGAGAGGAAGGCTGAGAAATCTCAGATTATCTTGAACGCTTCCGGAGAAAGTGGCCCCAGAGGCAGAAATGGCTCCTGGCTTGTCTGAATGTACAAGACAAGTGTGGACAATCACGACCTAATCAGAGAACAGATGTAAAGAAAACAGTTGTGAGAGTCTGACCCACAGATCAAGCAGTCAACAAGACTTTCAAAGAAGATACTTTCTATATATTACGGTCAACAAGCACTACAACACAATAAACAAATTCCTTCAGATCATAAGAAAATCCTAGTGTAAAAATACATCATCAGTGCCGTCTCCGGATTATATAACAACGTTTCAAAATTGGATATTCCTCAGGAAATGTTAGAGTAGTACAAAAGCTCTTGACATTGATGATGTATTTTTACATTAGGATTTTCTTATGATTTGAAGGAATTTGTTTATTGTGTTGTAGTGCTTGTTGAGCATAATATATAGAAAGTATCTTCTTTGCAAGTCTTGTTGACTGCTTTGCAAGGGGCTACGGTGGCTCTAGTGGTTAAGACGCTGAACTGCAGACCTAAAGGTTGGTAGTTCGGCAGTTCGAGCCCCGAGTGCTGCATGACAGAGTGAGCTCTCGTCTCTGGTCCCAGCTTCTGCCAACCTAGCAGTCCGAAAGCAAGAAATTGCAAGTAGATAAATAAGGTACCACTTCGGTGGGAAGGTAACAGCGTTCTGTGCGCCTCGGGGTTTAGTCATGCCAGCCACATGACCATGGAAATGTCTTTGGACAGCACTGGCTCTTTGGCTTGGAAACGGAGATGAGCACCGCATCCCTAGAGTCGGATTCGACTGGCTTTCGAGCAAGGGAGACCTTTACCTTTACTATCTTCTTTGCAAGTCTTGTTGACTGCTTGATCTGTGGGTCAGACTCTCACGACTGTTTACTTTACATCTGTTCTCTTTGTCTGAATGTACTCCATGGAGAGCCAGTGCGGTGTAGTGGATCCATTTGTAGACTAGGACCCTGGGCAACTCGGGTATGAATCACTGCTTCTACCATGGAACCTTCCTGAGTGACCTTGGGCCCATGACTCTTAGCCTGGTTTGCCTTACAGGGTTGTTGTGAGAAAGTGGAGAACAGTGTTCTAAGCCGCTCTGAGTCCCAATTGTGGGCGGAAAAGCAGGATATAAATCATGCATGCCCACACTGTGTGTAGGAATGCAGTGCTGGCTGAGTCCACATGGCCAGGATTCTCCATTTCCCTGTCATTACCTCATGAATGCAGAGGCATTTGCATTGGCCACCAAATGACCACAGGGGAGTTTTGTGTGCACTTTCCTTCATCAGCTGTCATAACCCCCTGCATTTTCCCTCCACCATAACACCAGAGGGCTTTTTATAATGGTCGGCAATTGCTGTAACACAATAGCATTATCAGGATCCAGCCCCACAGCCTACTAGTTCCTCTGAATTCCCACCTGTCAATTTAGAAGAGGCTCCAGCCCTTCCACTCGTACAACAGCAAATGTGAAGAGACTAGATACTAGTTCAGAGGAACTAATGGATCGTTTGGCACCTTCAGGATCAACAAATGCACACGAAAGCGTCTACCCAGAATTAAACTTTGTTGGTCTTAAAGGCGCCCCTGCGCTCAAACTTTGTTTTGTTGCGTCAGACCAACATGGAGACCCACCTGAATCTATAGTAGATTGTAGTAACTATGGTGCTTTAGTGCAATAGCAATTCGTGTTTTGGGTTTTTTGAAATAAAACCCTCCAGTGGCACAGCGGGAGAATTGGTAGGCGCAGGAGGTGATGGAGGGAAACCAGCTCCAGTGTGGGTGGAACCTTCCCATCTAGATGCCTTCCTAACCTGCTTGGGCTGCGCTCTTTCTGTAAAGATCGTACCTAACTAGGTCGGAGAGAGAACGTACCAGGAAGGAGAGAGCCTGGATAAGTAGCGGCTAACATTGTGTGCAATCTTCAAAACACACTGCAGTTGGGAAGCCACTGTGTGAACCAACCCTAAGCACTGTTCCCTCTAAGCTGTGGAGTCTTGTGGGCAAAAATTCTGCTTTGCGAGCGACTGGCATTAAAGCTGTGAGCGAGCGATTTGGCTACTGCATAAATTAGTTTGCTCTGGAGCCCTCCTTCCTGAGCTAAGACAAAAATGTGTGAGCCGGAGGCTAAAAACTCTGAGCTAGCTCACACTAACCCAGCTTAGAGGGAACACTGGCCCTAAGATTCAAGAAGGATCTTGTAGAGTTTGGTATGACTCTGTTTTAAGAACTTCTTCATATATTTGAAATTTGTCAGCTTTGGTTCAGTGTGTTCCCTGTCGCATCCCCCCCCCCCTTCCCGGCTTTTATTTCCAGCTCGGCCACACTCCCTGTTACGTTCCGATGCCTGGAGGAAAACATCGGGGTGGACAAGCGAGTCACCAGGTTCGTTCTGCCCGTGGGGGCCACCATCAACATGGACGGGACGGCCCTGTATGAAGCCCTGGCCGCCATCTTCATCGCACAAGTCAACAACTATGAGCTAGACTTTGGACAAATCATCACCATCAGGTGCGTGTGAAAAAGCACAAGCATGCCTGCCCCCGGGGTCAGTCCGTGGCCCCTTTCCCAGCAAGGCCGAGGGGGGTGAGTGTGAAACGCAAACTCCACGCTCCTTCCCGGCCCCCTCTGTTCTGTTCATAGGCTGCTTCCATAATAGCTGCGCTGAGTTCTGAACTGCCACCGCTTTGTTCACTGAGCTTGGGCGGAGAATCCAGACAGTTCTTGGCAGTCAATTGTATTCCGGTGTGTTTGTGTATCTTGTTTTTCATTCCTTTTTCAGAAAAGATTTATGGTGGTTTTATTGTAAAAAGTAAAATATAATTGCAGCCCCAGGCTGTCAGGTGTGGACAGTCAAAAGCATTCTGGCATTCTGCCCTCTCCCCTTTTCCTCCCTTGCCTTCTCTCCTGGCGTTATGAATGAATGACTTCCTGTTCTCCCTGTGCCAGCTGATGAGTCAGTAGCTATGATCAGTTCTTGTTGCCTTGGGTGGGAAACTTTCTAAAGTGCGGCTTTTCACGTTGCATCCGGCCTCTCGTCGTCACTGTTTTAATTCAGTTTTTTATGGTCGTTATCACATTATTTAAGCAATGAGCAGTGGCACTGGCTGGGTGCAGCGTGCAGAGTGGCACTTAACTCACACCTTCTCTCCCCCCCCCCCAACAACAACAACCGGCAGCAGACCCTTGGTTCCTGAATGCAATGGAGAGAACAAGAAGTAACTGATCAGGCTGTAAAAGTAAAGGATGAAAGTGAAAACTGCAGAGAGAAGGATCTTTACCAAACAGGAGTTACATTTGAGTAAGCATATAGTGGGATGGATTTTAACAGGGAATTATGCAGCACAATATTTTTACAGTACATTTTAATCTAGAACGTAGGACTTGGTTAAGTGCCTTGTGGACCTCAGTTTTGATTCTCCTTGCAGCTGGTTGCGGAAGAGCAAACTGTCAGCAGCTCAAAGCTGTCTTTGTGTAGTTAAGAGATTCTAATCTCACCTCCAGACACAAACTCACGAGGAAGCCTTGGGCAAATGGCTCATTGCTCAGCCTCGGCTCTCCTGCCTGTGGTACAAGGCTGCCTACCTTGCAGGGCCATTGTTACCAAGGTAAAGTATCTAAACTCTCTTTGAGCACTTGAAGGCGATATGTAAACGGTAAGTATATTTCCGCATCTGGCTGTTCTTAGGGGGTTCAAAGTTCAGATGCAGTTAGCTTTTAATTGCTATATGATACACTGGGAGCTTTTGGTGTTTGAAAATCAAGGTAAAAATTAAAAGCTGAAAGACTAACATTGTTGAAGCAGATTCAGGTTGGTAGCCATGTTGGTCTGAAGCCGCAGAACAAAGTTCCGAGTCCAGTCAGGCACCTTTAAGACCAACAAAGTTTAATTCTGGGTATACGCTTTCCTGTGCATGCACACTTCCTCAGGTACACTGAAATGGAAGTTACCAGTCCATACATATAGGTAGAGGGTGAGCAGCAAATTAACATACAGCATAATGAAGATTTATTTATTTATTTATTTATTTGCATTTTTACCCCGCCCTCCCCGCGAACGGGCTCAGGGCGGCTTACACAGGGGCACAAGCCCATACATAAAACAATATAAAACAGTAAAAACTACCAAATCACGACAAAACAGATAAAGTGCTCCATACAAACAAGATGGTCTCTGAGGATGGTCATGATAATTTTCTTAGGTGAAATTGTCCTGTCGATGGCCCAAGCCAGTCCAGCAGCATCAGTGCCATGCAAATTTATGGCAGTTCTTCCGGGGACCGCTCCCAACCCCGTTGTTTCAGTGGTGGTAGTAGTAGAAGTGGCAGCCCCTATATAAAAGCCTGGCGGAAGAGCTCCGTCTTGCAGGCCCTGCAGAACTGCATAAGGTCCCGCAGGGCCCTGATTTCCTCCGGGAACTCGTTCCACCAGGTGGGGATTGTCACTGAGAAGGATCTGGCCCTGGTCGCAGCAAGCTTTGCCTCCCGGGGGCCTGGAATCACCAGGCGATGTTGCATCCCCGACCGAAGTGCTCTTGGGGGCATATATGGGGAAAGGCGGTCCCTCAGGTAGGTCGGACTGATGTTTAACAGATGCGAGGAGAAAGTCTTGTGAAGGGCATTCTGCTTCTCAGATGGCCCTGCTGTTGGCCTATTTTGTTCCTCTTTTTGCCATCCGAGGCCCCGGGCAGGCAGGAGCAAGTAGACCCAAGGCCCCGGAGCTCTGCCAGTGAGCACTTCCTCCTTTGGCATCGACTCGCCCACTGCCACCTCCTGCGGGCGAACCCATTGCAAGGGCTGTTGGCCAGGTAGCCCCCAGGGGGCCGCTCAGCCAGACTGGCTTGTGGGCCGTTGAAATTTCCCAGGGCACTCCCTGAGGATGCATCTCCTGCTTCTTCTCACAAGAAGGGCTCCAGGCTGCAAGAACTCCTGCCTTTGAAAGTGCAGAGGCTCAGGCGCATCAGGATCTCCTTTGCCAGTGATCTGCGGCCACACTGTATGTCTGATGAAAAGAGCTCTGACTCCTACCCTGAATATCTTGCTGGTCCCCAAGGTGCGCCTGGACTTGAGCCCGGCTGTTCTGCCGCAGACCGGCCGACATGGCTCCCCTCTGATAGAATGTTGTATTTGGTCCTCATTGGGGTGAAAAGCTGGGTGCAAACAGATAAATACCTACCGTGGTACTAATAAGTTGTTTCGTCTTCTGGTTTACTTATTTAAATACCTGTATCTCACTTTCCTCCCCAAAGAGACCCAAAGCCGCCCACGTCAGCAAAACGGAATTAATGCCTACAACTATAAATAAGCCAGCAACACCAAAATCTGTTGTCTTCAGCTGGCCCAGGATTCAGGATCTGGCCCAGCTAAAGGCAACCTTTACAACCCGCAGGCTAAGAGCCATTTGGCTTGCACCCCTGGCCATACCCAAACTTTATAGTGCGCGGCACA